CTAATCTAAATACCTTTTGTTTCAGGCTACGGAACACAAGGCTACATTGTCAATTCTCCTGCATGGCTGCATAAACTACTTTTCTATTTATCTTACCTTTTTGCCCAGCTTTACACATTCTACGGGCTTTTTGAATCCTTTTACTTAATATCAAGGGGAAAACAATAGGTATTAAGTGTGTGCTTTTTTATTGATAGCTCCTATGTCGACTAAGCGCACACCTAGGCATGCTTAAGCGCTCGGAGTAATGCCTAGGCACCCTTGTTGTGCCAGCACACATATGCTCTTGAAATATTATGATGCATGTCTATTAAGTCATGTTCCTGCATAACTCTCTAGTGAAGCATATTAAATAACATTACACTTTTAGGAGATGCCACTTTACACAACTAACTACTCCCTCCATTCCTAAATATAAGCCTTTTTGGAGATTACAATATAGACTACATACAAAACAAAATCCGCATGTAGTTCGTATCGAAATCTTTAAAGGGGCTTATATTTAGAAACGGAGGGAATACTAATGGTGCAATGCAAAATCATGTTTGTGGAGCTAAAGATGATAACTCATCGCCATTGGTTTTAACTACTTAACATGGCCATCACACAAAGAAGCCAATGATTAATTGCTAATAAAGTCTATGACAACACTGAAATGAAATTTTGTATCAACTAATGTGTATGTATCTAGGGAGATTGCAGATTTGTAACAACCCTATCATGTTAAGAAGGGACAATATAAGGATGGACCATTATTAGAATTTTTTTCGAAACACTATTTAGAAGTTTCAAAGATGATATGCAGACATGTTCTCTAAGTATCTATAATTTTTCATTAATAATATCATTATTTGTAGGCTACACAAAAAAGACAAAAACCTGGCCCAAAAACAACAAAGGAATGTCCTTTTTTGGGCGGGGTAGAAAAAGTCCATTTTAATCTATGTATTAATCTTTTTTGTGTACACCACATACGAACATATATGTTAATGAAATTTTATATGTGTATATCACAAATTATATACTTACGGGTATTTTTTCAGATTTTTTTAGGTGTGCAAATAGTATTTTCACTGGAAAAATAAAATAAATGGCTCTTGCGAGGTTAGTGGAAATACCTATTGTAGGCCTTGTTCAGAGAACCTCCGCTCCACAACTTCACTCTCAAAGTTGGTGGAGTTACAATTAAAAATTATGGAGCAGCTATTTCCCGCCTCCGTAGCTCCTGGAATTTCGTGAAGCTGGTAAAATTCCGAACAGGCTCATAGTAGCCAAACAAAATTCAATTTTAATTCCCGCAAAAAAAGGGCCAAGCCCTCCTTCCTCCTCTCCTTCGGCCAAGGGCCCTCCTCCTTCTCCACCAAGCCCTCCTCCTCCTCCTCCGGCCAAGCCCTCCTCCCACCCCTCCCTCTCCTCCTCTCTCTTCCCTCCTCTCTCCTCCCTCCTCTCACCCCTATGTGACGCCCCGAGACCGTTGCGCCAGGTGTCTTCCAGTTATTCGTTGTCTTTGCCATGTCATTTGCATGTGTGTTGCATCTTGCCATGTCATCATGTGCATTGCATCATCATGTTTTCAAAACTTGCATTAGCTCGGGTCTCCCAGTTCCTTCCGTTGTCCGTTTTGAGCCCAGACACACTTGCATGCGCCCACGGCATGTCCGAAATAGTATTTTATAAGTGGCCGGAAACTGTTCTCGGAATGGGTTGAAAGTTGGCATGCTGTGTTTTTATGTTGTAGGTAGGCCGCTTGCCAAGTTTCATCGCGTTCGGAGTTCGTTTGATGCCCCAAGGATAACTATAGCGGCAATATAGCCGGTCAAACGTCGGACGTTTTCGGTCTTCGAAAACTGCCGTCGGGTCTCTTTCTCTTCTCTCCTCTCAGCCTGAGGCCTTCTGCACAGCTCACAAGTTTCAACCGACCCCTCCTCGCGCGCGTCCGAAAGCTGTCCTGGACCCAACCCGGGCAGTCGTCACCGTTGGATCCGAATCATCCCCTAACATCTACAAAACATCTCCGTTTTTCTTTTTGGACCCCCTACCTATTTGTTTCTCGACCGTCCGATTACGATCGGAGGGACGAGGTAGCCCCTACCAAAAGATCCATATGCCATATATAAACAGATTCAACCCTAATTCCTAGGGGAGATATCCCATCCATCCCCACGCCGCCGCCACTCTCCCCAACGGGATCCAAAACCTCGTTTTCCCCTCCTGTCCAACCACCATCGCCGCCCAAATCCTGCAGGAGCCCGAGCTCCTCTGCCCGTCGCTCCTCTCCTGTAGCCACCCGAGCACCGGCGAGCTCGCTGGAGCAGACCACCGACGCCCGAGCCCAATCCCATCGCGCTACCTCCTTCTTTCCCTTCTTCTTTCCCTTCTTCTTTCCCTGTCTCATCCCTCTCTCGTGCTCTGCGTGTTCGAAAAGGAGGCCATGGAAGCCGCCCTTCCGTACCTCGTCTCCAGCCCCTGCCCGTCGGAGCCGTGCCTCCCTGGACCCGTGGCTGTGGAGTCGGTCTTCATCCACGCCTCGCCCGCCTTGACACACTCACCATCATCGCCGGGAGCTCCAAGCCGCCCAAAGCTCTGCTCCATTCCAGCGTCGCTCGCGCGCCAAGTTCTGCCGCTGCCTCGTCCAATCCGCGTCCTCGCTGGCTCGTCTCCGTGGTCGGACCTCCCCAAGCCCTCTTCACCGGTCTCCATTGTTTCTGTGTGCGGGGACAATGACGACCGGTGCCAAGTTCCCCTGCCTCGCTTGCCTGCATCCGCCTCGCCCCTCGCCAGCAAGCTATCGCCGCGCCTGGCCCCTGCTGCGCCTCCGTTGACCCCGCCTCTCGCCTTCCTGGATCCGCTGCGCCGCCGCGTTCCCCGTCGTCGTCGACCTCCATGCCCCGCCACCGGCCTCTGCGCGTTCTGCATCAAACAGAGGAGCCCTAACCGCTGCCCTGCTCATCTCGATTCAGCGAGACCGAGCCGGCCTCCTCGTGCCCGCTTGGGTCGCATCCTGCAGCAAGGCCCAGCGCGCCCCTCTCCTCTCCGTTGTGGGCCTCAGCCCAGGGTGAGCAGCCCCCGCTCCTGTGCACTTTTGGGGCCGGCCAGATTCGGCCCAGTGTAGTATTGTTTTTTAGATCTACGAATTTATCTTTATCCAGGTTTTACCAGTTTTGCAGAAAACCCCTCCATGTTCATGCATATAATAACTTCAAGACCATGCATCGGTTTAACATAAGTTATATATGAAACATGACTAGAATTTTATCTAGTTTAATAATATCCAACTTTCAATCATGTTGGACATGTTTAAAATGGTGTTTGCTTTATTTTTCTTAAATAACATGTTAAAATGCT